AAAAAAAAAAACAAACGCTGTCGCTTTGTAAAACATCAAAATGGTAATTAGGGTAAATGATTGAGTGGTTAGTAATTAATATTGGTAGTCTGTAGATTAGAGGCCGAATGAAACGAAGAAAAGGGTTAATAAGATATATAGGGAATCTAGGATAGGATTAAATTAAATGGGATTAATGGGATAAATCTGAGGAGAAATGCTTCGGTCCATTAAGTCGTGTACGTTGTAAGCATCAGCTTTTTGCCAGAGAAGAAGCGCATCCCTTTACGAAATTAGCAATCAACACAAACAACCGAATTTCATCACTTAGTGGTCAGTCTACAAATGGTTTTTGAGTTTCGTTTCTCTGCTTTCTTCATTTTTTCGAAGGAAAATCCAAAGTGTATTCTTTAGTGTCTGGGTTGTCTAAGCTGTTTATTTAACAATCTGCATAATTATCTTCTAGAACTTCTACAATGCAGAGGAGGAAATGTGTTGAGAGCTAGTCGTCATGATTTCGATACAGGATCTGGAGATGCGCGAATTTTTCCAGAAATTGGCCATTTGGATCTTGAGCAGCATCCAACACTTATAAAAAATCTGGGAAAGTAGTGGACAAGTAAAGCTACACCCTGAAAACTCTGCTACCCACGAAGTCAGATTTCTTTAAAAAACTTGTTTTATTTGTGGCCGAAGTTACTGGAAGTTCAAAAACCGGATCTACCTGCATTTATTTGTAATGAAATTCAACTAACATGTAGTTTCCCGTTTTTAAAGATACATTCACAGGGCAGTTCGGCACCGGGCGGAAGATAGATTGATTTCTTAGGTACCAGTGATACTGCTTCGTCTTTTTCCTCATCTTTTTCTTCTTCATCTTCGTCTTCTTCAGCTTCCTCTTCCTTCATTGGCTCCGGCTGTATTTCATCTAGAAAAGAGGGAAGTTTTCTTCACAAAAGCTTGACTTCTGCTTTTCGCACGCGAGACGATCAAAGAAAGAGAGTAAAGGATGGACACTTTTTGAAAGTTACAAGAGCCAGCATCAATACAATACGTTTTTTTGGCATCTAGACACTCAAAAATGCATATTTAGAGAAATGTTGTATATGTGTGTGTCCGCCTGTCTTTGTGCATGTGTGTATGTATTTGTGTGTAGGTGCATGTGTATGTGTATGGATGTGTGTAATCTGTGACCGCGTATTTGGATCTCCAGAAGCTATGAAGTTTAAAAATAGGCTACTTAATCTGGCACTGCGTACGGGTCCTCAGACGTAAAATGAACATTCACGCCCCACTGCCTGAAAATTATGCAAAGAATAGTGTTAGAAGGGAAGCCCTGGCTCAATGATGGACTTCATCTAGAAGCACATTACCAGCAGTGAAGGTGAACTTCAGTGGATTTAATTCTAAATACAGAATTTCTGAAAACAAATCTAATGGGCATAGTGCAGTGACAAGTAATGCTACTCTGCTGCTAGAGGACGAAGGTAAATACGACCAGCGAAACAGTCATTTTATGATTCGTTCATTCATTTCGATGGTAAATTGGTACTGGAGTATGACAGGAAGTTAAATCCACCATCAGCTTGTGTCTGAGCAACCCTTAGGGATAGAAGAACTATCAGCAGCCTCGTCAGCATATGGTTATTTTTGGCAGCTACACTTGGAGGGTTATTTCTCGAGTGTGGAGAGATTTATTTTTCTAATATTTTTGCGTATTTGCTGCATGTGTATAATATTTTCTGCGCTTTTGATCAGAAAAGCCTGGCTTCTCTGTACATGGCAGCGTATGGGCGTATCTCAATAACATCGAGGGGTTACAAGGAATAGACAATTTTGTTGATTATTTGGATTGAGTTCAACTTACTCATTAATGAATGCTTCGAGTGCTTTGATCCAATTGACGTTTTGTGTAGGCTATCGACAAGCTTGCTGGATGTTGAGGAAAGTGAGGATAGAGATCGTGTGATGTAGCGTGGATACACATTCGGATGAGATGACTGACTGCCAGTGGAGCTAAAATGACACGTTGGGTTTGTAAGCAGACAGTATTAGCAGAGACCGACTTTAAGTTTGTTTTTGGCTTTTGAGAAAGAAATGAATCTGACGAACGCTCTGAATAATACAAGGAGAAGCAATTTTGATTAGCGATTACATATATATTAGGCTTGTTTTTTGGTGACATTGCCAAATATGGTTCTTTGTACCCCATTGCTGTTTCGAATACCGCATTTGCATCGCGCAGAGGGAAAAAGAAAAAACAACAGTGCAAATTTTACTGACCATTAAGCAAAACTTTAGTATTTAGTGGAAAATGAGAGGAAGTAGGCCGCGAGAACGGAGAGGAACGAGGTGGAGAAGGAAATTCATTTGGGGACAATCTCTTTTTGTTCCTTGTAAATTTATTTTATTTCTGAAAATCTAACATATTTTCGAAGTGAACAATGCAAATAGCACTTAGAAGCCGAAAGAGCAAAACCTAGAAGAACCTGTATGTAGTACTCCACAATAGTATTAAGAACTGTACAACAATTGCAAAAGCGTAGTTTAAAAGAAATCAGTTTTCAAAAAATTTACGTGGATTTCTTGCGTTTCCTCACGTAAGCTTGTACAGTATATACAATAAGTGCAGCGATTTCCAGTAAACTAACAACTGATGCACCAATCCAGAGGCCTGTAAGACCGCCAAGATCAGCCAATGCGCTTGTTATCTGAAAGATTTGTTGTCATGTCAGTGAACTAATGCATTTTAAAAGAGAGGAAAAATGAGACACGAAAATATTTTAGATAAACAGGCAAATAAAATCAAATAAATTGAGAGAAAACGAATGTAGAAATAGTACTGCAAATACAAGTATTTAGTGTGTTTATAATTAAAATACTGGGAGCAGCACAGTGTTTTCCCGACATGCTTAGAACTGCCAGAGTTCGTGCCTGGCCACCCCCGTTGTCGCTCTTAAACAGTGATGAGGTGATTGGGCCGAAATTTTGTGTGAAATGGCGAAAGTAATAACAAAAGTAGCCAGAATTTAAACTCTCTCAAAAGCGCTAGGGGACCTAATTTTATTTTTTCGTATGTTTAATTTTATTAATTTATGTGTCAATTATGTATTTAATTTACGTAAGTTTGGCTCATTTTGCATTTTTTTTTTAATTTTTGTGTTATGGTTTGAGAGGAATACGGTAGACATACAGTATAGGCAGGTGTTTCGGTCATCGTTTCGTAATTCAATTCCTCATAGAAAATTTGAATCATTGCCGCATTTTTACGATATCGTTCCATACAAAGATCATCAACAGCATCGCACTCCATAACTTTAGTTGTGCCGGAAGGCCATCGTGCTGCACTGTACGTTACTTCGTAGTTTACTTCTCTAGAAATGTTAAATGCTGAATTTGTGTAATAATGATAGCAATAAAAGTAACAGCAATAATAATAGTGATAAAATCACAGGGAAAAATGCTCAGGCTGCATCGGGTACGTTACTGGCATGACGTAGACGGACGTAGCTGGCACTCGATATTTTTATTACTTTTTTCTCTATTACAACGAATCACTTTAAATGTTCATCTGAATTCAACAAAAACCACAAGGGCCGTAGCTAACAAAACCACAAGGACCATAAGTCGCGAACACGATCAGTGAAATTTTTCAGATTTTGGTTATGATACTTTGGTGCTACGTAGTTTTCACCCATTTTTTGTTTTCTAAGCTATGAAGCATCTGTCATTGGTATGGCGTGATGAAACCCGTCGTATCACGAGCCTACCAATGCGGAGCTCTGGATTTTACTAATATGCATTTTTTGTGTAAGTACTGAACTGTTCACATTTGTACGAGAAATACTGTGACTTACGAGCACGGTTGATGGCAGACACAATGCTCAAGTTTTCCCTCGGCAATCAGATGGCTGAGATATTGCGAAGCATTCTTGATGCATTCTCGTGCAACCGGATCGCTTACTTTGCACGGTATGCTTCCATTCGGTGTTGGATATGTCGGATCTGCACAACCGCATAAACGAACAACCTCTCGTTGTGTGCAACTCCGGTGACAACCCTGAAACACTGATTCTTATGCGTTAGAGCGCTGCAACAGGCGGCAAGAACAATTGTTGCGACGACCCTGCTTGTGTATTTGTTTGTGTGTGTTCGTCTGTCCGGGTATTTCAACTTGACAACCATGCGAGCTTTGATGCTGAAACTTCGCCAGTGTGTTCCCTGGCCAAGCGCGACTGCAGGAACATGATATCGCTTACGTCTACGTCTCACGTACGGGCATGCAAAAATTTCGGCGGGAAATTTTCTAACTCGGAAGCAAGAGAAGCCAGAAAGCTGAGACTTTAGGAGAACGTTTCCTACTCATGTATGACCAAAAGATTCTTAACTCCTTTACATCGCCGGAGTCTCACATGCACATGAATGAAAATTTTGGCGGGGAAATTGCTAGCTCGGAGACGAAGAATGCTGATAAGCTGGAATTCTACGGGAATGTTCCGTATTCATATGCGACTAAAAGATTTCAAATTCAACTCTTCTGGTGCGGTGTTTATCGCACACCATCAGCTTCCCGCTTGTCGAGTCACTGAAACCGACGCCTACGACTGGCACACCATACAGCTGCATAATTAACTTCCTGAATTTCGAGGACCAGTATGTCACAAATTCTAACTACTTGTGATTCTTTGCGATCTTGCTACTGCACGAAATGGTGCGGAAACTGATGATCGCACCGGCTCGCCTGGTGCGTTCCAGCCCGGGGGTTTTTTTTTCTTGAATTATCATCTGAGTTGTAATGAAATAATAATGTTGCACTTTTTTTAAACATTTGTTTATTACCTCAACGGAATAATTGAAGCCATGGTAGATGAAATTGTGGTTCCGATCATTATCTTCCAAGCATTGACCATGAGGTGCCGGAATGCGCTTGAATTTTTTCTGAAAAAGTACTTTCTGGTTTCTGAGAGGGAAGCACTTTTCTGTATTTTCGTTTCTAATTATCCATGAGACAATTATTTTTCTTCTGTCCCGGAGTTGTTGGTATTGAACTGCAGATGTTATTAAGCTTCATCCACATTCCGAACGCAGCTCTCTCGGGATTTTCCATCCTGACTCGCACATCTGCGCTTTGCAAGCGCCTCGCCTTCGTCTGCTATCCGGGAGCCTGTTTTTCGGGGTTTCACTCGCTGATGCGACATCCGCGGTTTTCATTACGGCGACCAGCGTGCTGTTTTTTATTTTATGACCAGATTAACCGTTTTTTCGTCACGCGCTGCATGCAGTATCGCCCAATATTTGTATGATAAAAGATAGTTCAGAATTTTATATTAACCTAGTCTGCCAGTCAGTCGGTGAAATGATCCCATGCTAGTGTTGTTGCCGGAATGCTTCACGTCATACACAGCTATGCCAAGCCCTTAAATCCTGAACTGCATACCTTCAGTTAGTACTTACGGCTTTTACGATGTATGGTGCGAAAAGGTTTTAGATATTATCTATTTAGACGAAAGTTTTCAAAATTGCGGCGTAAACTGTTTTGTTTTTAATGCATCGCTGATTTTTTTTAATCGAAGTTTAAAAATAAAACATATGTAGCATTTCTATAGTTTTGAGTTTTTGCCCAAGGTTTTTCCAGTTAAAGGTTAATTTTTGCGTTTCTTAGGAGGGATGCGAACGGCAGCACCCTCGGTTTCTCGTTTCTCGATAAGGGAGATTTCCGCACTTAAAAAAAAGAGAAAACATTACCATGCGTACTCCAAAAGAAGACAGAAAACCAGTTGGTGCATTGTACCCGAATGCATCTGGAAATGGTACAGTCCATTGATCGTGAACAGTAATACGAAAGCCCACTGATTCGGATGTTGGCAAATATTCGGATACATCGGCGTAAAGCAGCACTCGTAAACCTAGCAAAATTAGGAAGTAAGAAATTAGGCAAAATTACTATGATCACTGAGAAAAATCCGAGCTAATCTTAGATCTCGATACTCTTTATACCAAGATTATCAGAACTGTTGGATTCGATATTAGTCATTTTATTGAATGCATTCACGTGCCCGACACACATGAAATCAGTGAAAAGAAAAAAAATTTTTTTTTGGCTCTTAAAAGTTGACCGCTTATGACAGCTGAATTTTTTTTCGTGCCAAGCACAGTATTGCTGAATGTAGTCCCTATATTTATCGAACAAATCGAAGTATTTCTCAAAATATTCCCGATGAGTCGGTAATTCCTTCAAGGAACGAAATAAATGTGAGGGTTACCAGCAAATTGACAAACAAGATATAAAGCGTTAGTCAGAGCAACTGGAAAAGTTGTCAGCGATATAGATGGAGCAACAGGCTAGGAATTGCGGCTGATCAGAGCATCAGAATCAGTTTTATGTTGTTAACACCAATACTGAAACTGGTGACTGAATTGAATTCAGAAAGCAAAATGAATGGTTTTACCAAAATTGGCACCAGCCCGATGAGCCGTTACTTGTCTAGTTGTATTCCAGTTGAATGTATAGCAGTTACCATACGTTTGATCGTAATGCAGCTTAAAATCACTGGAAGAAACAAATAATCGTAGATTTTTAAACTTTGCCAAATTTTTTTTGACGATCATAGCAACAGGAAATAAAAAGATCAAAATCTCACAGAGACGGAACTGTTGTGCCTGTAGGACGTAATCAAAGGGACTGAATGTATTTTGCCTTCTTCCTCACCGTTTTCTCTTGTCCTGCCCTTGCTTTCCCTGTCATAAATTTCTGCAGTTTTGGTCTTCAGGTTCCCGTTTGATGAGACCAGTGTGCACTCAATTATGACGCAGCTGCATCGTGACGCAGATGTTTTTGACGCAAATGAATTATGACTTACAAATTTTTTTAACATCGTTACGTTGTAGTGCAAAAGAAAGATGCTTCCGGCAGTAATAGCACCAAAGGGTGGGATGGCCACACTCATTTTCGATTTTGCAAATGAATGATTACCGAAAGGGAATCGAGACACTCGTCTTCACATTGCTTTCTACTGCACCATCGGCCCCCCTACGCCCACTGAGCGTGTTTTTTGTATCAATTAGCAGCACATGCTAGCTTTTCATGGAACTTCTGTGACATCTGATGGGTCTTGTTATTCCTGCTGTCTTGAATGATTACTTTGTAGTGCGTTTGTTCTATAACGCACTGCTTTTTTTCATGCATGGACATAGCGATTTGCGTTTTCTGGTGCAAAAGTACATCGCATATTTGAGCGATTTAAGTGACTTACTTCTCGATGTCGCAGTCCTTCTGATTGAATGAGCATTTGAAAATGAGTTCATGCTTTTGCTGTGACATCTGCACCTTCTCCGTATCGTTCATTTCACCAACCGCAAACATTAGATTTTCTTTAGCTTGCTCTTTGATTGCAATCTCATCGGTTAATCCCTACAAAAATCCCAGCATTTTGTGAAAAGACTAGCTGATCATCGTATTTTTATTTTTTGAAAAATTATGAGAAATCTCGGGAGTTGGACGCAAAATTTTTATTTCATTCACTTGGAAAACATTTTTTGAAAGATATCCTGAAAGTTTTCTGGCAGATGTAACTATCAATTTTCTGTCAGTATAAATGAGTATTTCCCCAGTGGTTGAGTAGAAGGCTTGACCCTTAACATCAAAGTAACACCAGCTATCCATGGATTTAAGAGGGTTTTTGGTTCTCGTTTTCCCAACATGAAAAGGGGCGGATGGTAGCAACACGGAGACGAAAACTTGTGGCCGTTCGCATCTTCGCGAGAGCCATGCAGTTGCGCGAAGGTGCAGGTATCAAATGTTTTATTCCGGCTTAATCATGTCGATACCTACATTCCCTACCTCACTTTTCAAGATCTGGTTAAATTATCAGAAACATAAACAGTCAGAGAGAAAATAAGATGTACGTGGCTGAAGTGATGCCTTTTTTATTGATAACCTCCGCACCGCACTCTGCAGAATACGCCTATATCGTTATTATGCTGCATTGATCATAGCGCAGAATCTTTGAGATTCAGAGTAAACAGTTCGATTTTGCAATTTTAGAGTTTTTAGGGGTATCAAATTGGATGGTTAATGGTTCGGAAACTTTTTTAGCGCATCAAAAGCAATTAGAGCTAGCGATGTCAGGATTCAGAGTAAAACAACTTGGATTGTTGTTTTTCTTATCAGGAACAGCTGGCCCGGAACTACTTTATGTTAGTAACATTCCGTGTAGCAGTTCTTTTCTAGCAATTTTTTTTTTTTATAGCAGTTCCGTTTAGCTTGGACATCTCTTTTAGTTATCAGCAAAAAAAATGCCTCAAATCCGAGAGCTTGTCTGAGTTCGGGCGGTGGCGTTGTACTAGTGGTGGTTGTTCGAGAAACTGCAGCTTTGCTCGGAAAATCAAGAATATCGAGCGCCGAAATGTCCGTTTTTGGTTCGATTTCTAGGATATAGCCATAGTCGTTGTTTGCAATACAGTGGTTGTACTCGCGGTGACAGAGACACACTTGCTTGCGTTGTGACTTTCCGTCTTCTGTGCTAGCGCTTTCATCGAAAAACCTCATCGGGCAATGGCCAAGATCTTTGGAGCATTCTTTGCATACCCGTTCCTTCCATGTGTTGTCTGAAAATGTTCGCTAAACAAAGGTTTTAGGAAGTAATCGTGACTTCCGTGGGGAAGAAACTTCTAAAATTTTTAAATAATTGGCTAACACACGGGCTATCCGTGCGAAGATGCGTTTTTTGCACAGCTCTCCGCAGATTTTTGTCGTTAACTGTACTGGTTTTTCCGGCAGATGCTTTTAGCTAAAAGAATTTCAGACTGGCCGTCAGGACTGGCGGGAAACATCTCTCTTAGCTTCTCAGGCTCCCGAGTTAGCAACTTACCCAGAAAAAATTTTAGGGGGCCCGCACGTGAGTACCACGCATACCCGAGGGCTGGATTTGAGCTCAATGACATTCAGATGAACGGGGAATATCCCGTCATAATTACAGTCTTCTAGCTTTTCAAATTCTCGAGTTAGGGACTTACCCAAAAAAAATTTTGGCGGGCTCGTACGTGGGTATCAGGCATACTCGAGGGCAGACTTTGGACTGGTAGGAAACTTACGTGGATGGGTAACATCCCCTTAAAATTTCAGCTTCCTAGCTTTCCTGATTCGCGAGTTGGCGACTTGTCTGAAAAAAATTTGGCGGGCTCGAACGTGGGTACCACGCGGATAAGAGCACCCATTTTGCGAATTGGGGCCCGTGTAGATTAAGTCCCCAAGTTTCAGCCCTGTAGCTTTTGTAGGTCTTGAGTTGAAAAACCGTGACTGACGCACACACAGACACACACACACACAGACAACCCCTCGTCGATATGTGTATTTCTTATCTCCGATTCAGACTTTCTATAAACATTGATTAGCACTGAAAGCATTTTCGAAGTCACATGCATATTATATGAGGATTGAAATTACGAGTGTATTATGTGTGTGTTTTTTTTTTGTAGTGCATCTCATGTGATATACTAATATGATATACCGAAACATATGATATACCGAAACATTTCTTACCTAATTTATTCCATTTATATTTTCACTTTTTCAATCTTTTCATTTACATTATTACTTTTTGCTTTTTCTAGTCGCATTTTTGCTTATCCTTAAATACTAAAATTGGTTTACATGGGAAGCATGGCCAAAGGGTCTTGGAGACCCAGTCCAGTTGGCAGATGCATTTGCTTGGATGAAATCGAGCCAAAGTATCATCGAACTCTATTGATATATTTCCTTTGTAGGCTGCAAAGCAGCTCCCCTTTTTTCGAACGCCTGTTAGCGAATTCAGTTCGCATAAGCACTGAGCTGATGCTTGATGATATCGACGATTGATAGTTATATTCGTGGGCACGGCGCGTAATCTTCGCGGTTTATTACCTGCAAAAGAGAAATTTTTTGGTTATCTTGAATGGGAGTGATCATCCTTTTCGGTTTTCCCGATTTTATCAATTATCCTGGAACGATTTTTTCCGTTTTATGCAGTTTAAAACCTACGAGATCTTGTGATCTTTTATTTATTTTTATCAAGTAGTTATTTTTTTTTAAACTTCAAACTTTTCAACTCAAAATTACAAAAATAAATAAAAGCGCAAGTGGAAAATGATGGGGTAATGAAGGTAATAAACAAAAAGGCGAAAGTAACAATTAGGAAAAAATATTTATTTGCTTTGAAAAAGACGTACAGTAAAAATATCCAATAATTAATTGAGGGGACAAAAAATTATTCGGAAGTTATTAAGTAATAATATTGGAAAAAATGGGTAATAAAAATGCGGTAATACAAAAAAATGTCACAAATGTAATGAGCAGTACACAAATAAAACTCCCATAATGGAACTTACAGGAGTGTAAAAACTGTAATAAATAATGAATAAAAGAAAAAGTAACATCAGTATGTGAAGTAAAAAAAGAGATGGGGTACTGTAAGTAATAAACGAAGAAACTAATCTGTAATAATCTGGCAATAAATTAATAAAAAAGGAATTAATAAAATATGAAATGGAAAAAATAATGATCAAAGGGAAGTTTTTTAAGAGCATCTCGCAATATTTTAGGTTTTTCTCCTGCGTTTATTTTTTGCCGTCTCATCTTGATTATTTGTTATTTTCGAAATGGGAGTTTTTAGTAATGGTGGAAAGACTGTGATTTAGAACAAAATTTATTGAATAACATATGACTGTCTGCATTCTCAGTGGTTTTGTTTGAGAATCTAAAAGCCTTTTTTTTTTAACAGCACTTACCCTCCTTGCGAGCAGCTTCAATAGCAGCCGAAATACCGTATGATTCGACACCACTTTGAACGATACTTGAGAAAGCATCCATCTAAAAACTGAGTCAAATTTAAGGTCTATTAAAGCAAAACGATGTCAAAAACTCATAAAAAAGAGGAAAAAAAGTCATTTCGCTGATACATTTTTTGCACATTTAATAATTCAAGTTTTTATAAATTAAGTAATACAGTGCAATATTTTTTACTTTTTTTGAAAAAATTTAAATCCGGTTTTTGTTAAGAAAAAAAAAATAAAAAAGAAAATTTCTTAATGATTGATCCATACCGTTGCTTTCGTTCGTCCTTCTTTAGCGATCATCGAAGCTTTATATGGATTTAAATTACATAGTGTAACAGAAGGAAATGGAGCGTTTTCAAATTTGAGCTGAAATTTGATTTATGTTTGAGTAACTGTTTTGCTTTTTTAGGATTGCCGGTTAAGCTACTTCTAGTCTGAATATAAAAAAAATACTGATCTGGATATCAAAGTACGGATCTCTGATGTCTTCAAAATTAGCAGTGGGAATTTCTCGTTGAGTTGCAGTAATACGCCAAGGTTTTTTGCGGATACCCACCAGAATGCAGCAGAATATGCGAAAAAATATATCAACTGGTATTAAGGGATTAATCAAAATATCATGTGTAGCGAAGATATATTAGGAAGCAATTTGTGTTTTATCGCTTAGTTAGCAGTAGCTGGACACTATGGGGTATGTGTTACATAAATGCTAAATGTTCCAGTTCTCAGTGGGCGCCGGGGCCACTCAGGTAATGGTTAACACATCGCAATTCGAAGGATCTGGAGATAGCGGAGATTAGATGTTCTGTTTACTCTCTCGTTCCAGTTATACCTTTGCAAAAGTTTATCAGCTTTGCTAGGTTCTCCTGCCCAGCACTCATTATCATCAGCGCTTGTTTTTTATTTAGCTGATTGATGCAGAAACTAACATCAAGATCAACAGTTTTAGCATAGAGGCGATATCGTCGGATGAGTAGAATAATCTGAATGATTAGAGCGCAGAAGCAGATTGTGAATGCGGTATACCAAATGATGCGCCATTTGGTGTTCGGTGCAAGAGCAGCATGCGATATGCCATGGAATGTGCTTTGGCGCTCGAAACGCCGAATGATTTCGCGGTAATTGAGATGACCAGGGACACGAATTTTCCCAAGTCCTGAAAACTTGTTCTTGTTCCGGCTCTTCGGCCCCTTTTCCTTCATCCAGCACAACACTCTCGGTGCCCTCCTGTGTCTAAAAAACAGCAAAAGGATTTCTTCCATCTATAGTTAAAATTAACACTCGACAGACGAATCAGACAAAGTACAGATGAGGCCAGCTCATAGTCACTGCCTCTCACATTGTAGCCAGGAAGTATATACTGTACCGATCTCAAAGCAAGTCCACTTTTTTTGGGATAATTTAAGCCACTCCTCTCGCGTTCCGCCCTCTTCTATTACCTTCAATCCGCCTTTTTAGACAGTGATAGCGGCAGGAAAAAAATCATTTAATAGCTACTGGTATACAATGGAGGGCCCAGATAGCCCGATTGGTAACAAGTGCCACTCGAACTGCTTCCAAAGCCTCTGCCTCGTACAGGAAGTGAGCGCGGAGGGGACTTTTATTTTTGTCTTGAAAATTCGAAAAGTGCAAATCAGAATCAGTGAGTTTAAGTGTGAGTAAATGATATTACCCGAAAGGATGAAGTCGGCCTGATCAACTTTTCGTGGTGAAAATTTAGAACTACTTAAAAATTCCGATGAGTCGTATTAAAAGAGCTCAGTGTAGGAGTTATGCTAGTAAAGATCCTGGAAAATCATCATTTCAAAACGAAATGATACTATGATTAATAGATATAACTAGTAGATAAACATGAGTAGAAGTGAAAGTGACACAAATGAGAAACAGTTGTGTGAATAGGAAAAAATTAGAACTATTTTTTTATAAATTTTTGTATATATAAACATTAAAATTGTTTTTTTATTTAAATATGCATATATAAACATATGTATGAAAATGGCAGCTAAGTTAAAGAAGTTTTGGTCCATTAAGTCGCATACATTTTATCCTAGTACCGCAAATGGGAGCCATTTAAAAAACCGTTTACACAAACTGATATATACATTCCTGTAAAACTAAGCTGTTTAGTTAATTGCCCCTTCATAAAATGGTATGAGCGCCAGGCAAACGAGTTGTTACAAATCATAACAATGATATTGTCATATGTTTGTACTCCGAGAAAATGGAGCCGGGGAGGCAGGAATTACTGTTGATGAAATTGAGGGTAGAAGGTGCTGAAAAGAGGGGGAGGGGGTGCTAAGGTGTGGAGTGCAAATGTTCAAGAGCAAGCCGGAAAGGTGCAGCAAACAATATAGTATGGTTGATGATGAAGAGTGAAAAGTGGGTGGTTCGGTGGTTTAACGGAGTATGGATGAAACAGACCAGCAGTTCGAAAAATGTCCTTTTTTCCAACCTCTCTCTTTGCTTTTCCTCACTTTTCGTCTTGATCCTTTCGTTTTTCTCATCTCATCCCTCAACACTTGCAGCATCTTCTTGAACTATAGCTCGTTCACAGGTTCAAACTATGACGATAGACGAAGAGAACTCGGCAGACTGTCATGGATTTCCAGGATATAGAAAAAAGAAAGTTAAACAATACCAAGGATACCAAAACCGCCCGGGCTATTAGTATGATTATGTTACTAAGAAGTTAAAACGATACATGTTGTAACGGGCGGAAATATGAAACGATTTTTGGGAAAGTTACACGAGTTTTTTGGAGTGGTTTTGTATTTTTTCGGGCTGGAATATCATGTTTAAAGTCAGTGGACTAGTTTTAACCGGAAGGGACAGGTGGTAATAAACTGTTTCAAAGCATATGCAGCTTTCCGATGCGCTTTTCATCTAACCCCCATTCAGAAAGTAGAATTTCCTCCAAAAAATTCATGCGTGCATCGGGAAATAGCGGACATGGCGTGATGGGGGCAGCGTTACTGTCTTGCAGAAGATTGAGGGTTCGAATCCGTCAGTGTGACAGCCAGCGCCTTTACGATTTTTTCATTTATTTCGATGACAAATTGGTACTGATACATGCCAGGAATTCTCCATTAGTTTACTATTAAGCTAACTTCGAGTGAGGGGAGCACTGCGTTACCCCGAAATAATTCCGACTGTTTTCGCCTTTTGTATGGAGCGAACACGGAAGGATTTTGACATGTGCAAACACATTCCTTAATACAAACACATCCCTTTAATTTTGCATACTGAATGACAACGCCGTTAGTGTAACTCTGGGTAGCTTTTCTGGACTTCCGAACTCTGGGAATTTCTGCTGATGATCGTCTTCAGTACATATTCCTCAGTTGATGGTGGTTATGGTGGAGCTAGAGTAACTTCTGTTTTAAACTAGGTTGGCTGAAAATTCACAGGTAGAGGGAGTGCAGAGTTTAGAAATATGGCAAGAGCGGGAGCATCGGACTGTCGACAGACAAGTCAAGCGATGATGTATTGGTTTTGGTCACAGTGATCATTTATCACAGCTGACACAAAGATACATAATGATGAACTGACAAATATTCAGGGCCAAAGGTCAAAACCCTGTTTGCATTCGCCTTCTATGGGATGTGAAGCCACTTAAGAAGTGGTAGCAAGTGCCAATAGCAATCAGCCTTACGAAGGCTATCAATAACCCTCTTTCGAGAGTTGTTTAGAAGCAAGCTGATGATGGGTTTGTCTTCCGGGCATTTGCGACTGTCAGAGTGTTAATTTTTTTCTCGTTTTGCTCTGATTTGCAGTCGTATTTACTGCCTACCGTATTTTTTTTTAGCACTTACCGCTTCCTCGGGACAACCGCCGTAACCGTTCCCAAGCTATATCCGCTTTCATTTTGTTGTGCTGCTCTTTGATTAATTCGTCTTCATCATTTAAATCTTGCTCATTGGTGATGCTTTGCCATCGTACCTCCGGCAGTTCCTTGTGAACCTGAAAATGTTTAGTTGCTTGTTCTATTAGATTCAATTGAAACTCGACAATGATAGAACTGAAAAATTTAAGATGAATTCTTACACGAAGGGATTACAACTTATTCAGTGAAGTATTTCTTTCGCTTAAACAGCCACTAATAGCGAAAGCTTCACAGAAAGTATCAGCATAAATATACAAATCGAAATTAGAGTAGCTGCTCATTTCCAGTAATGCTTTTTTGCTACATTTTTGATATGTATTGTTTTACCAGCAGGACTTAGCTGCGCCTGGTATTTGGTCGAAGCCTAGTAACATCATTAGTGTGGGATCATCATATTGACTGTCCAAGAGATCTGACTGTCCAAGGATGTAAAATATTTA